CCTTGCATAGTAGGCTGAGAAGTGCGTTCTGGCTACTAGGTACGACATATATATATATATATATATATATATATATATATATATATATATATATATATATATATATATATATATATATATATATATATATATATATATATGTACAAGACGCCTATATATATATATATATATATATATATATATGCAACTGACGATCACAATATACTGATCATTGGTATGAAAAAACTCACAGAGAAATTGGAAAGGTTAGCTCTGGGTAAACTAACTGTAGATACACTGAAACATAAATGTGTTGAATAAAATACATAAACAGGCACTAATAACCAAAGCAAAATACATGAACCTTGAAACTAAATAAATTAACGTTTCGATGTGGAAAATTGATCATTGTGTAAAACTAATTCTTCACTTGTTCCTAATTAAAAATCCCGAGTAATTACGGAACCAGGAGTGCGGCTAATCTTATCCAGCATGGTAGTGAAGACGGGTAATTCTCATTAAACTTACAAGCCATGGGAAGGTACAGTTACGGGATACATAAACAGCTGACGCAGCCTCATTACCAACCAACGGCCACCTCCCCCACAGCATTCCAGTGAGGGGGGGGGGGGGGCAGGGGGTGGCCGGTGGAATCACTTCAAGTTCAAGTATGTTTATTGAGACAAGAAAGAAATACATCTCAAAGAGATAGAGTAGCTTAGGCTATTTCTACCCCCCCCCCCCTGGAATCACTAACCGGGCGCTACAAACGGATGTTTCCTGACTTTGTTGTTCCCAAATCATAATGAATTACATTACAAAGACGTATCACAAACACAATTACATTACAAAAACAATGCACAGTTACTAGCATGTAATGTATAGAGCGATGTTCAAAATGCCATTTTAGTGTTCAATACGAATGTTAACCTAACCCATCGTACCCTATAGATTGCGACTACTTTTGATATACACGCACGTCCTCCTGCACTGGTTGGATAGACCCACTGGAAACTACACTATTTGGATTCAGGCCGACATGGCGCTACGCTGTTTGGCAATACAGCTGATAAAACACTTATAACTTTCTCTTCCACTCTACCTATTTTCATGAGTAAGAATTTTAGGATTATATTTCACATTTTTCCTCGCACTTCAATTACAGACCATCTGACGGAAGTCCAGTTCCTGTGTGAGTGATCGTAACACCACCTCTTAAGTTATACACAGAGTTCGTTAATGCAACATCACCGGCCTCTACGAACTCTGTAGCGATCAAGTCAGTGTTAGATTTCGTACCTTTTCGAGCCTTTTCCAACTCGTGCACTCAGCCATATTGATTTTGATAGTCAGCTTAAGTAAGGTTAAATTTCAATTAAAAATAGGATTCATTACGGTAAGTCTATTCAAGTTACGTTCGGTTAGGTTAGATTTAACAAGGTTAGGTTTGGTTAGGTTAGTTTAAGTTAGGCTTGGTTAGGGGTTAGTATCAGTATTAATAATGACTAATTAAACAATATAAAAAAACATGGTCAACATGGCACAAGTCAAATTTCAGCTGGTGGAGTTGAGTATTTTTAAAAGATAAATCTAGTAGGTTCGCTAACCGTTGAAGACTTGACAACTTTTATCTCGTCTCGTTGGGTGGAATATCAATTTAAAGTTGTATCTTGTGCTATGAATTGGATAAAGACACTAACAGAACATGTAAAATATCAAGCAACTTTCAAGACTTGTGTCCTGGTGTAGTGGAGGATGTACACAGTATTGTTGGGTTTACCCAGTAGATGGATGGGTGGCCGTGTCTTTGACAAGGGGGCGCTCTATGAAATGGAATAACAAGCGGGGGTATTAATCTGGTGCTAAGTGAAACAAATTAGAAACGATAGAACGTGGATAAATTTAAATTCAGAAAAGACCTAGATAAACTCAACTTGTTCTCAGGGAAGAGATCCTCTCAGAGGAATGATTGATTGATGAAGATTAAGCCACCCAAAAGGTGGCACGGGCATGAATAGCCCGCAAGTGGTGGCCCTTTTCAGCCATTACCAGTATCAAGAGCTGATACTGGAGATCTGTGGAGGTGCGAATGCACCCTGCATGACGGAAGATGTCTCCCTTGTGAATGTGTTAAGATGAAGATGAAGCCACCCAAAAGGTGACACGGGCATGAATAGCTCGTAAGTGGTGGCTCAGAGGAATGGATTAGGAACGACTTCATAATTTGTGTTATTTTCTACTCTGTATCCATGGTTTAGGTTAAGGTTTCATTACATTTGGTTACGTTAATAATGTGTATTATTGACAATAATGTGAAATATGGAATTCGAAAACTACTTCAGTGTGCCCGCGAATTCTGTTTATAGAAAACCAAATTTTTCAAAGAAAACGTTTTCAGCATATACATTTTATATTTTAAATTAACGATGTATATTGAAATAAAGTTATAAGTTGAGGATAATCTCTGTTTACGACAAAGGTTAATTTGCCAGTTTACATGTAAACTATTACTGGAGCCGTAATATGCTTTCAGGCCATCATAAATATATAGATAACTATCCAGGTGGTTTGAGGGAGGGAGCGTCGTGGTTTCTCATGGTAATAGATTTGGTCTGAGGACGAGTTCAAATTCTGATTGCCAAAATAGAGTTTTTGAATTATGAAAGAGGTTGGCTGGTAACATAACAGATGTTGTAGTGTTTCAAGCGTAGGATAGACAAACCTGTGAGTGGTTGTGTGTGTTTCTCTTGTATTGAAATTGAAATAAGTTTATTGAGGTAAAATACACACAAAGGGATGAGGTAGCTCAAGCTATTCTCACCCCATTAGCTTGTATTAGCATCAATACAAGCGACTCGTTTACATGTTTCACTTTGTTATAAACATCTCCTATTTGTAAGCCACATAACGTTAGGCTCTGTAATATATAATTTAATAATTTACATATCAAAAGTTTGAATAACCCATATAAATTTAAAAAGTGAACGTATTTAACTCATGTGATGGAAATAGTTTTTACAAGTGATATGTATAATATTTTGCAGTGTGTATTTACGAAGAAAAAAAACATTGGGTTTCGTAACACTTTTCACGCATGCGTACAATAGATACGTTTAGTATCAAGTTGTAGGCACATATACGTCCATAAATATTTTGTGCACGCCTTATAAACCCTGAACCTCCCTGCAAGTCTAAGCAAGTTTTGCAATATGGCGGCTAAATTTGGATCCACAGAACTGTTTAACGGGCGCTGACCCTCTCCTTGTACTACACTTTGGTTCGTTCTCGACTCCTAATCTGGAATCCTGGGTTCGAATCCCGAGCGGTACAGAATGGTTGGTCACGTTTCCCTTCACCTAATGGCCCTGTACCCGGCAGTAAATAAGTACCCCGGAGTCAAGTGTTGCAGAGTTGCAACCTGGGGAAGGTCAGTAGTCCGACCCTGGGGGCAGGGAGCTCGATACAAGCCTAACGTATATACATTCACTGGCTGCCTGTCCCCCGACAAAACAAAAATAATTATATCTCAGTATGCTTCGGCCAGTCTCCTGTTTTCTTACAAGCAGAAGAAAACAGACGGTGAATAGAAAACGGGAGTTGGTGACTCCATATGGCGCGGGTAACTGAAAAGAATGGCTTGATTACTGCGGAAGACAGGTTCAGTGGCTCTCAAGTACAGACACACCAACACCGGACTAACATAGTGAATGCAACATGAAGGTGGAATAGTTCCCTCTGCACCTGAATTACGCCAGATTTATACTAAACTAATTAACTTGCAGAGACCTCAGGAAGCTGTAGCTTTTACGACATACTTCACGGGTGTGGTATAAGTTACAGCTCCGTTCCTGTGCCAGGTAAGTCCACTACGGGCTCACCATAGCCCGTGCTACTTGGAACTTTTTGTTCCCAGTAGCTGAATCTATAAAAACAGCAACAACGGGTGTGGTATAGGGAACAGCTAACGGGGCCTTGACTATGTCCAGGTAGCTTATGTCCGACACCTACACATATGACTGGAGGTTCACATCTGCTGCGAGCTACATTCTTGATGGAACACTTAAGAGACGGATGCATGGATAGTGAGAAGCCTAAAGGAGAAAGAAACAGTAATTAATGAAGAAGAGCCAGTAGACAGTGCTACAAGTTCACCTGTTCTCTCCAAAGATTTAATTTCTCTCTTGATTTTAATTTCTTTTGATTTAAGATTCTCTCCGACTTTCATTTTAAATTTACGTTCTAATTAGAGAAACTTTCTCGCTCCTTTTTTAAAGACTGACGTAAAACTTTTAATTGCTATAATAACTCAAATACACTCTAGTTTTAACCACAAGAGGATATTAAACATTTGAATTACGTAATTTGTATATACAATATTGCCGGAGACAGGTACGTATTTACTTCTTATTTAATTATATAATGCTTTGTAAAAGGATAGTATTTTGTAGGATGACGTATGCAGTCCATCTTAAGACGATAGTACTGATAACGACTATTTGGTCAAAAAGTACAAAAATAAACTATTGGACCCCAAAAAGTTTACATTTCTGCATTACTGAATTTCCCAAAATGGCATAATGAAAAGTTGGAAATGTAACTAAATAACTTAACCTAACCTGTCCAAGTAATCCTAGGCCTAATATACGGTATAAAAAACTAGATATAATATATACATATACTATACTAGGGCCCCTAGTAATGTTTAAATTTGGTTTCTGGTTTATTTATTCGTGTCCTCTACAAAATTTCCAGTACATAAGGTGAACATTCCTGGCTGCAAACCCATTTTTTGTATTTTCGACAACAAAGTTTTTGCTTTCAATGCTATAATTTTAGGAGGATGGGCTGGTGGTATAGAAGTATAACCGATAGTGCTCAGATATAGCATATTATGATGTGCAGGTGTCGCAGCCAGAGTATGATATACACGCGTGTCTGAGTATACAGATACAATAATACTTTTAAATAAGTAAAAGTGGTGAAAATATATTAGTTGTGGAACTGAGCATGTGGAATCATACCTCTCTTGGGCTCATAGTCAGGAAGGACAACACTAGTGGTGAAGGTCCAGAACTTCTCCGGGTGTTTCTCACGCAGGGAGACTGCCTCCCTGACGGAGGCGTCGACGGGGTGTGGCAGGGAGGATGACTTGTAGGACTTCTGAGACCTTGAGTCTCCCTCAGTATCGTGACTGTGGAAGAATCGGTGAATATCCGAAATGCTGTTAGTCTCCGCGCCCTTCCTCTCCCGATCTCTGTCACAGGCGTCGCCGAAGAGCGCCTGGTAGTGGGTTCTGTTAGGGTTCATACCCTGGCTCCTCCTCAAGGTGCTAAACGTGTCAGAAAGCGTTGGTTTATTCTTCTGTTCCCTGCGAAACGAGGCGTCTGGGTCGTCATTGAACTGTCGCTTATACTTTCTGGCAAGGGACTTGCTGATGGACTTACTAAACGACCGAGTCAGTGACCGGCCGACTCCTTTGCTTAAAGTCCTCCTCAACTGAGACATAGATTCTGTAATTTGGTTAACTGAATCGCTGATTTTAGCCTGTCCAACAGCTAGACTTTTACGAGCAATGTGACCCATGGGACTGTTTTCGTGTCGCTGTAAATTACTCTTTGGTTCTTGCGAAGACTTTCTTGCAGTTCTCTCAGAGTCCCTCCTCCCAGAAGGACGTCCATTTTCTCCGGGCACATTGAAGCTTTGGCTCCTGTATTCTCTTTCATGTCTGGAATCCTGTTCGTTTTTCTTTATTTCTGCAAAAGTACTTATTCTACTCAGGTTACCGCCAGTAGCGTCACTGGACTGGTCGTCCCCACAGTTATCTTTGCAGACCCTCAGACTGACACTTGTGGCTGGGCTCGGGTGTGGCGAGTCCTTGTTTTCCTTGTAGCTCACCTGCAGTAGCATCTGCCGTCGATGCACAGGTGACGCCTCATTAGTTGGCATTACCAGCTTCCAGGCACCTGGCAAACACTTATGTCTCTTCAGTAGCCTTTCATCAAGTTCTGCCTGAAGAGAGGGTGCAGGACTCGCAGTACTGTTCTCATGAGGGCTTCTTTTAGGTACCGGGGACGTCGAACTGTCCACATTCTTTGAGAAATGAGGATTTTCATCTAATGCCCGAGTGCTCCTTGATGAAGGAGAGTCTGGAGGTTTAGCCTGTTGCACTCTAGCTAATTCGAATCTAGCAGAATTTCTATCTGCTTGTGGCTTGTTTTTATTATCGCAATAGTGGGTGGGAGCGGTTGTTATGTGGGTAGAGGCAACTCTTCTGTGACTCTGGGAGAACGGAGCTGCAGGCTCTGGCGTAGACCCCCGAGACAGACGGTCGAAATATTCCAACTTGCCTTTAAAGGGTAGAGCTGTGTCGGAGAGAAGCTTCGTCGACGGCCCCAAGAAAGAATAGCGGCGAACTGGATGTTTGTCTACGGGTGCATTACCGTCTACGTTAGGGTAGATGTAAGAGAAGCCAGGCTGGAAAAGGGGTTGGGGTCGCCGAGCAGGAACAGGCTCCACCTTCGGGCTGTTGCCCTCACAGTTATTCTTCTGGAGCCCGTCTTCCTGGGGCCAGTGAGGGGAGGAGGCGCCCGACGGGCTGGCTTCATGTTTCCTCCGACGAAGAGACCCCTTGGGCGACCGAACACCCTCCGGATTGGGATTATGATCATCTTTCTGACGAGACGTTCTGACCTGACTATGAGACCGGTCAGATCTGTGGGACCTATGAGACCGGTCAGATCTGTGGGACCTATGAGTTCGGTGAGACCTGTGTGATTTATGTGACATTGCAGACGGAGAGTTTACAGTACTACTGTTCTCAAGGCTGTCCTGAAATTCAGGACTGTTCTGAAACAGCTGGTCCAGTCGATATCGTGCTGCATAGAGCTGGTCAATCTCTTGGTCTGATACCGCCATGGCGACAAGCGAAGTCTTTCTCTTTACGAAACTAACTAGGAAAGAAAGACAACCTTGTCATGCAGGCTGGACTGGGCGAAAAGGACCCGGGATCAGTGGTTCACTCGTGCACTGAGCACATGACTGATGTGCTGAGAAGAATCACTCGTACCACTCAGCACATTACTGAAGTGCTGTACAGGAGTGTTGGATGGCCTGTACACCGTAGATATCACGTCTACTGAGCTTCCAGTCATGTCAGCCGCTATACGGAGACCGACTCACACTTAGGCTCTGCTCTGTGGTAATTATTCTGTAACACACTTACATTTCAATCTAAACTGTAACACCGATATAAAAAAATGAACACTGAGGATAGATTTCAGAGCTGTAGAGCGCAAGCACCTTGACACTGGCGGGTCGACGGGGAACGAGTGCAGCGCGAGGCGAGGGACAGTGGCGGTGGAAGCCGGTCCGCGACAGGACCGCGTCGGGGCTTACACTGAGGCGGGGGAGTCAGCTGGTGTCCGGCCTGGCTGGCTGCGTGCTGTGGCCAGGCCGCCCACAACACCCACTCTGGCTGTGTGCTGTGGCCAGGCCCCACACAACACCCACTCTGGGTGTTGTAGCGAGGCCCCCCACAACACCCACTCTGGCTGGGTGCTGTGGCCAGGCCCCCCACAACACCCACTCTGGCTGCGTGCTGTGGCCAGGCCGCCCACAACACCCACTCTGGCTGTGTGTTGTGGCCAGGCCGCCCACAACACCCACTCTGGCTGCGTGCTGTGGCCAGGCCGCCCACAACACCCACTCTGGCTGTGTGCTGTGGCCAGGCCCCACACAACACCCACTCTGGGTGTTGTAGCGAGGCCGCCCACAACACCCACTCTGGCTGCGTGCTGTGGCCAGGCCGCCCACAACACCCACTCTGGCTGGGTGCTGTGGCCAGGCCGCCCACAACACCCACTCTGGCTGTGTGCTGTGGCCAGGCCCCCCACAACACCCACTCTGGCTGCGTGCTGTGGCCAGGCCGCCCACAACACCCACTCTGGCTGGGTGTTGTGGCCAGGCCCCCCACAACACCCACTCTGGCTGGGTGCTGTGGCCAGGCCCCCCACAACACCCACTCTGGCTGCGTGCTGTGGCCAGGCCGCCCACAACACCCACTCTGGCTGGGTGTTGTGGCCAGGCCCCCCACAACACCCACTCTGGCTGGGTGTTGTGGCCAGGCCCCCCACAACACCCACTCTACAGTACAGTCTGTCCACCCAGCCACTCCTGTCCACATACACCTAAGGTAGGGGAAGGGAGGGAGGGAACATTTATATACTAATCCGTAGGGTGAGGGAGTGTGTCGTGGACGCTCTGCTTGCCACGACACACGTGTTGAGTAGCGACGGTCGCGGTCGTGATGGCTAATGAAGGTGAAGTAATTATGGTGGCGGCTGGAAATAATGGTAGTAGTTGTGGTGGTGGAACTAGTGGTATTAACGATGGTTTGGGGCAATGATCGCTGGCGATGGTTGTGGCGGCCCCCGCAGCGGTATTCCTTTAACGGTGTTATTCTGTGTTCATTATTATGCGCCTGGCCGCCTGCACTGGGCCATATGTTCCACCCCAAGACTGCCACAACCACACACACACACCACACTCCCGCTCTCCTTCTGGGAGTGGAGACACTTGCAGTGTCTCAACTCTTCCCGTTTTTCCGCGTCTTGCTTGTCTGCTAGGGGTAATTAGGGGGAGCCATAGTCCCCTCACTTTGTGGACTACGGTCTCCTCTGTGGACCGTAGTCCCCTCACTCAGTGGACACGTGTTGTAGTTCAGACCTCGGGCCAAACACGAGCCGAGTCAGATTATTCAGCTCCATGTATATGAGTATTATATTAGTGTGTGTATGTGCGTGCGTGTGTGCGTGCGTGCGTGCGTATTGTGAGTGCTGCCTCTGTAATCAGGGTGACCCAGGAAGCACCAGAGACAGGTCAGGTCAGGACCGGCTCACTCACCGTGCAGATAGCCCTGACCGCCTCTGTCGACCCTCTACACGCGCCACAACGTAACAGCAAGTCAACAACTTTAACAACATGTTGTTGTACCCTCACAGCTGCGTCTTAGTGTACACAATCAGGACTGGAGTAGTGGGGTTGGGGGGGGGGGGGGAAGGTAGAGTAGTTTGTGCCAAGAAACTCATTGTATTGTTAGGAGCGTCCAGGCCTGAGTAGAGGCTGTTATTAACCTTCAGGTTATTACAGTCCTTGAGGATACTATTAACCTGGTGGTCGCCCATCAAAAAGTATTGACCATTAATCATGTCGGTGGCGCAGCGGTCTAGAAGGCGTGTGCTCGGGAGAACCCCCAGTGTGCGGGTTCGAATGCTCCTCGTGGCTCTTACTGATTGTCTCACGAGTTTGAACAAAGTCATATTAAAGTATGGGGAAATATGTATAATTTACTGACTATGCAGGCGAGGAGTCACAATAACGTGGCTAAAGTAAGTTGACCAGACCACACACTAGAAGATGAAGGGACGACGGCGTTTCGGTCCGTCCTGGACCATTCTAAAGTCGATGTGTGTGTCAATTTACTGACTAGTCTGTTAATGTCTAGATCATGAAAAATAAAATTACAAATGTACCGTTATTAATGAATACATGAAGTAAAAAAAATCTTAAGATTCTGCTCGTCGACGAGAGTTTGCAGCTTGAGCGAGAGGGACCACAACCGCGTCCAGCAACCAATCCTACCAGCGCACACCCACGTCCCCCATCAACCACAAAACTACACTCTAATAAGTTTACGTTAAAAGCCCCTGGATTTACATTCTTGTTTGGATTGATAACAAAACATCCTCCACATACACATGAGCCCAAAGACAGGGACCACAGCCAGGTTGATCAGATCCTCTTCACCACAACTCTTATAATGTGTGTTGTTATGTCCTCTGCGGCAGCCTGGCCGGCCCACGGCGCCTTCCGCAGCAGGAAATATACCAGTGAGAAGACGAGGGAAGGAGGAAGGGGGATGTTAAGGAACATTTTCTCAAGGCTGTTAGGTGAAGTTTAGGTGTTAAGTTAGGTAAACGAAGAACATTAAAAAAAAAAAAAACATGAACAATTTACATGGTACATTTACAAGTAGGAACATTTATAATGTAGAACAGGACTGACCATTATATCTTATAATGTTTCCCAGGTCATGCTCGTCACACACCCACACACACACACACACACACACACACACACACACACACACACACACACACACACACACACACACACACACACACACACACACACACACACACACACACACACACACACACACACACACACACACACACACACACACACACACACACAGGTAACAGCCAATTTTAAAGAAAAACTTCTTTGTTTGGGACGTAAAACTCTTACCATGAGACACCGTTATTCCCTAGGGTGGGAGGGAGGGGAGTGGGAGGGGGGAGGGCAGGTGAGGGTGGGGGTGGTGGGAATAAAGGGGAAGGTGGGGAAGGAATGGGTGGATGACCGGCGGTGACGGGTGGGGATGGTGAGGTGGAGGGGGTGAAGGTAGGGATAGTGAGGGGGAAATCAGGAAGAAGTAAGGCTTGATAATGGTGAAGGAACTATACAATGAAACAAGGCTTGAGAAGAGAAGGGAGAGGAGGCTGGGAAAGAGGGGGAAGGAGAGGAACAGGAGACACAGTGGAAGAGGGGCAACAGAAGGAGACACAGTGGAAGAGGTGGATGAAGTTGGGGGGGAGGAAGGGGGCCACTGTTACAAGGTCATTATTGCCGAAAAAATTACAACTAAAATCACATAAATAAATGAATACACTAAAATTCAAATACAAACCAAAAAAAAAAATCTGAAATTAAAAATATTAAACTAACAACGCTAAAACTACCCCCAAATTAAAGAAAAGAAAAGTCTCAACACGATTCAAAACACTGTAAACTACTCATTAACCAGAGGCAGGTGTCTGCAGGAGAATGGGGCGGAAACCGGAGCTAAATGGGGACTCGAAATTCACCCCACTGAGGACCTCTTCAGCCATGGGGGCGAGGAAGGTGTGTGGTGATCTAAGGAGGCCAACACGCTATCTTATCTCTCTCTCTCTCTCTCTCTCTCTCTCTCTCTCTCTCTCTCTCTCTCTCTCTCTCTCTCTCTCTCTCTCTCTCTCATGCTTCAAGTGGTCCTTTCAGGGCAGCCGGTGAAAACGTTCCCACACTTGCAATGTGCAAATGTGCTTCTCCTGCATCCAGTTGTGCGTGCGAGTCATGATCGAAGCTTCAAGTATCACGTGATGAATAATGTGAAGAGTTATGAGCACGAAGGGAGTGGTCGATACATCTTCAGAAGGAATGATTCCTTCTGAAGATGTATTATTAATATACGAAAGTACTTAAAGAAATTCCTATATGTGTGTGTGTGTGTGTGTGTGTGTGTGTGTGTGTGAGAGAGAGAGAGAGAGAGAGAGAGAGAGAGAGAGAGAGAGAGAGAGAGAGAGAGAGAGAGAGAGAGAGAGAGAGAGAGAGAGAGAGAGAGAGAGACAGAGACAGAGACAGAGACAGAGAGAGAGAGAGAGAGAGAGAGAGAGAGAGAGAGAGAGAGAGAGAGAGAGAGAGAGAGAGAGAGAGAGAGAGAGAGAGAGAGAGAGAGAGAGAGAGAGAGAGAGAGAGAGGGGGGGGGGGGGGAAGGAGGGGGTTGATGTTTGCAATACCTTGTGTGTGGTAGTTTAATTCGCTGGCAAGAAATGGTTAAAGAGAAAGCGAACATATGATAGCAACCGCTCACCTTGTCTGCCAGCCTCCACTCCTGTTCCAAATCGTTTCTGGAAGAGGCTTGGAGTGTGGCTGTCTACGGCTTCAGGGACACTCGGGGGTTGGGCGCCTTCGATGAGGTCACTATCAGGTAACTCTCGGGTCCACTGAAGCGGCTCAGGCAGACTGGAGTGAGATGTATTCTGTGGCGATTTCCCTTCTTTCTTGACAGAGAGACACTTGATTGTCCTCATTTTCAAAGATTTTTCCTGTAGATTTTGGAGCCTAAAGAGCTCATTCGTCTGAAACTGCTCTCTGACACCAACTCTGGATGGGTTGTGCGGCACTGAGCCACTGCTGTGGTTGTGCCACGTGGGCTCTACTTCCTCGTAGTCATGGTGGTCCCAGGAGAAGCCAGCACTCAAGGTACTTTCGTGGCTCTTGACTCTACGGGAGGCAAGAGTGGCATTGTCGAGGTAACCCAAGGAGAAGGGAGCAGAAAAGACGCTCTCGAGGCTTATTGAGCGATGGAGACTGGAGTTCAGATCATGAAGTTCTAGGTCGCAACGCCTATAGTCGCAATCCTTAAAGTCGCAGTGCCTAGAGTCGCAGCGTTCAAAGTCACAGTCCCTAGCGTGGCAGTGCCTAGAGTTGTAGGGCCCAGGGTGCCACATGTTGGGTACGCTACTGGCCGGCCACAAGACAGACTGAGGCTCAGGCCCCTTCCTTAACT